ATGGGCTGAACTGCACAAAACGCATGATCGCACCGGCTAGTCTGGTGCGCGTTGCCATTTATTATTCGTGATTCTAGGTTTGCTTTAATTTTCCTTTTTTTTTATAATGCTTGTTTTTTCTTTCCCTTTACTGCTGCCTCCCGTTCTTGCCTCGAGCTTTTGACTTTTATCCTCGTTCCCCTTCGCTACTTTGTCTCCAAATCCCGCCTGCAAAGCAACATTTGAGTTCCCCTTTCTCCTCACTGTACGGCAGTCTGGAATCAAACAGTGTTCCAGCATTCTCTCAACCATGCGTGTCCGCGGTAAAAAACCATCAACACTTTTCCTCCTCCTTTCCATCCATCATTCCTTCCCGTCTTCTCCTTGAATATACGTGAACTAGCCAACTGACAAAGCATCTACGCCGTGTAGCTCTAAAATCCGTCTATTCTAGCCCTCTTTCCTTGCCTCGAACGGAACCCCGCAGAAAACTCCCCTCCCCCTCCCCCTCGCCGTCTCCTCCTCCCTCCCACCTACCACATTCGAACTGCTACTAATCATCGTGGGTAACACCATTTGCCACGTAACATTGTTATCGTGCAATAGATAGAGGATTCGGCTACGCCGACGGGGCAGTCAATCTCTTTGAAATTAGACCACTCGATATTGGTACTAGCACATGCGGTAAAGCCAGTGCCACCTTCAAATTGCTTCTAAGTAACCTTCAAAAGTGGGAGCCATTGACAGGCTTGGCATCAGGTACTCGCTGATGATGCTTGTTGACGTTCGGGTTACTTTGGAACATCTTGGTTTTTCAAAGAAAGCATATACGAAGGAGGCTTTATCTTCTGACAAGACGTTATGGGAAGAATAAGCAATTTCGAATTGGCATTACTAAGACATATTTGCACTGATCGGTAAGGCATCTGTTCGTAGTCCAGAAATGATAGCACTCAACAAAAAATGATGCAGACTTACAGCTGGTTTTTTTTTTTTTTTTTTACTGATTTATGCCACCTACCGGTTTATCATAGGAATGAATGAACGAATCGTAGAGGGACTGGTTATCCGCAGCAGCGGCGGAGACGAATTCTCAACTTTCGACATAAGAGTGGCGCTAATTGCTTTTTTTGCAACAGTGTCATGAGCGCTTTAATTAGTTTACAGTTTTTTACAGCATACTTGTGGACGACAGGGACACTTTGAAAATTTGTGATTTTGGTACATCACATCAATGGGATAAGCAGAAAAGCACGGTGATGTCATTCTGTGGTACAGCTGCCTGGATGGCGCCCGAAATCATCAAAAAAGAACCATGCTCCGAAAAAGTAGGTCGATTTTGAGGAAGCGAGTTTTTCCGAGATTAAATTTCAGTTCATTTGTAATATCAAGAACACGGAGTCTATCCGGAAGGTCGGGGCGGATATCCCATATTAGTGATAATTATTGAAACGCCGGAATGCGATTCTGTTAGATCCTTTGATCTTTGGCTTTTCTAAATACTTTATTTATAATCATTTTGTTCATTCTAGCCAGTTATTTTAAGTTAGTCGTTTCTACAAATTTAAGGTTGATATTTGGAGTTTTGGAGTGGTACTGTGGGAGCTGCTGACGCAAGAGGTGCCTTATAAAGATGTTGATTCCATGGCAATTATTTGGGGCGTTGGTTCAAAGTAAGACTTTGGACTGCTTAAGACTTTTAAGTTCTTAAACTTGCATTACTTAATTTGGTTTTTCCACCTATGCATCTGGCAACATTTACACTTACTTTGACCAGTTCTGCGTTACTTTGTGGTTAGCGAGCTGCTGACAATCTTTCAAAGGAACTATTAGCTCAACCGTTCTCTCAGCAAAAACTCGTGAATTTTAGATTTTAAGTTTTGAGATTTTTTTTAATGTTTGCTGAGTATCAAAGTCTCAACCTTGAGTATTGCGAGTTCTAGGATAGCTCTTCTATTAGGATTTAATGTTTATTATTTTTTTTTATTTTTATTACATTTTTTATATTTCTATTCTTTTATTCATATTTCTTGCAGCAACTTAAGTTTGCTGATACCTACCACAGCACCTGAGGGGATGAAATTATTGTTGAGACAGTGCTGGAGTATCAAACCGCGAAATCGTCCATCATTTATGCATATTTTAACGCATATTGCGGTTTTCAAGGTAAAATTTCGATAATTTTTCAGTAGAAACGTGAAAATTTTGACTTAAAGAGAGGAGATGAGAGGAGAACAAAGCCGACCTCAGACAGTCGATGTGGGAATTTCATGCTAATTGTGTAATTGGAAAGCTCTCAAGCCCCAGACGTAATAGTTGTTCAGCTGACAGCTTTTTTTTTGACTATGGTCATGCTCCTTCTATACTGATACCATTCCATATCGAGTTTTAGTGGGTCGGTTTAGCTGCTGATGGCTTTTCTTACTGCTCCTTAACGAATCCTAGTTGATTAGCGATTCGCCCAAGCATGCTGGTGGCCTTCCTACCATTATTTCTGTGATACATCATAAATGCATTTAATTATTCGTTTCGTTCGTTTGTTGTATAACCAGCCTTTTAAAAAGTTTTGTTGTAATTTACCAAAATTTCAGTCAGAAATTGCAACCATAACTGACGAGGAATGGACGGCCAAAAAGGCCCGCTGGAAAGCTGATGTCATCGAATACATGAAGAGCATTCGTCAAGAGAAACCGGTAGCACAGCAGAATAAAGATGACAGTGGTATTTTTCTTACCCATTAGTTTTGCATTAATTTTTCTAACATGTCGGTATCGGGGTTCAAGTCTAAAAAAGTGTTTCTTCCGTGATCAAAGTCCCAGTTTAACGAAGAATTAAGTGGAGAGGTATTTCACTCTTCATCTTTAAGAACTCGTAGCGACTTGAAATAACTTGGTGTTTGGGATCTTTTCTCTCTTTAACCCCATAACACAGGCATAATTGTTAACGGACTATAAAATTTATATTGCTTCACACCTGGATACTTTGATCGGCTGTATTTCTTGGTGTGGTTCTCCGACTATGCAGTTCAAGAATTTTTCCAGTTTTTTTGACCAATATTGCTTCGTCCAGTGGTCATCTTGCTGCTCATGAACTTAACGTCTTTTTTCTTTTTTTTTTTTTTTCTTCCTGAATGGATTACCAGCTCAGCGATTTTCCTGAAAGCACCGCATTACTCCAAAAGATGTGAATTATTCGGGTCTTTGCATTATTTCACTTCCAGCTTCTCAAAGATTTAAGGGTTCTTTATGTGACTACGAAATTTATGCGTAAAATTTCAAGTTGTTTTCTGGTTGGGAAGTTATAATACCTCAGTATTATGCTTAGAGTTGCCTGTGTTTATTTGTTATGGACGAATTTCCAAAATTTGTTTCAGTGGCATACCAGGCTATGTTAGTTTACCTGACGTGATGAAATTCATACAATTTTTAGCTTGTTTCTAATACAACCTCAAAAAAAGTCCTCGTTGTACTTCTTCATCGTGACTACTATATAATGGGGAGTTTGCTAAAAAGATAATATGTTGCATTTTTAAGAACTCTTCGTGATTTCTGATCG